TACGTAGTGAAACCACTTCACTTCCTAGGTAGAGGTGATGTGGACTTTGCAAACCCCGGCATTGGGAATCACGGCTCGGTGGGTAAAGTAGTACAATTTCTGCAGAAACATTTAACCTGTTATAACAGTCGTGCTCACGGATACGAGCGATCTGGATCATTCATGATTAGTGGTTACTATGGATGGTTGGGAATTGACATAATCTTGATTATTCATTAATATCACTTGGGTTGGGTTTATCCACTAAAGCAGTGATTCAGGATGCTAAAACTTGACCAACTAAAATTGCGAACCACGGTCAAACCGTGTCTAACCTTTGAGCCTCATAGACCCCTTTGATATACTTGCTAAGCATGGTGCGCTTACACTTATTTTACATTCAATGAAAATCCCGGATGGGTAACAGATAATGTCTATAAAGAGTTTCTAGAAGATGTCCAGGATTACTAGGGTGATGTCCCCCAGTTGGAGTCCCTATGGCGTTTGGGCTTAGTCTTCTATTCTATGTAATAATGTTGCCGATGAGCAAGACTTATGATAACTATGTGATGAAATATGCGATGTAATAAAGTACTTTACTTTGATATTATTGCAATTTGAGATTATATGTGTGTTTGGACATCCTGGGCGCATATATATGAGCACTTGGTTTTGTTATGCAAAATTGGGTGCGACAATAGGTTTTTTTTTTTAATTTTACCAAGTCCCAAGTGTCATTCTTATCAAGTGACTCCATTTCATCATGCATGGCAGTCACCCAGTTACTACAATCAGTTAAATTAATAGCCTCTGAGTAAGTAGAAGGTTTGGTATTACCTTCAATTTCTTCTGCTACACTTAAAGCATAAGCATCAATATTAATTTCATTAATCAATCTCTTTGGTTCTATAATTTGCCTCATGGGCCTATCAACAACAATGGAACGCTGCCGCGGTGGTGCCGATTGCGAAACAATGGGAGCTTCCTCTACAATAGAGGAATCCTCAGTAATAGGTTCGCCTGAAATACTATTAATTTCTTTCCTTGGTCAATCAACAAATTGCTCCACTTGAACACTTGACTTCTGTTGACCATCAACAAGAAAATCAGTAGTATTGTCTTGTAACATAGCATGTTCGTTAAAGATAACATTTCTACTAGTCATAACCTTTCTGGATTTCGGATTCCACAGCTTGTATCCCTTGACTCTAGATTTATATCCTAGAAAGATACACTTAACCGCTCTAGGCTCCAATTTTCTATTATCAACATGAGCATACACAGTACAACCAAAAACTCTCAATTCTGAATAGTTTGCCAGAGAACCAGACCAAACCTCAATTGGAGTTTTCTTATTAATGGCAATAGATGGTGACCGATTAATGAGATAACAAGTAGTGGAAGCAGCTTCTGCCCAAAAATGTCTATGGAGTCCTGCATTAGACAACATGCAAAGAGCCTTTGATATGATTGTTCTGTTCATACGCTCAGCTACACCATTTTGCTGAGGTGTGTAAGGAACTGTGTAGTGTCTCACAATGCCTTCAGATTTACAATAAGAAATGAATTCCTCCGAACAGAACTCCATCCCATTATCTGTGCGAAGCTTCTTCACCTTCTTTTCAGTTTGCTTTTCAACCATTACCTTCCACTCTATAAAAGCTTAAAATGCTTCTGATTTATGCTTCAAGAAATAAGGCCAAACTTTCCTAGAGTAATCATCAATAATTATCAACATATAACAAGCACCACCTAGTGATGTCTTACGAGATGGCCCCCATAAATCAGAATGCACGTAGTCAAGAATACCTTTGGTTGTGTGTGTCGATGTATTGAATTTCACCCTCTTGTGTTTGCCAAACACACAATGCTCACAAAATTGTACTTACTAATGTTATGTCCACCAAGAAGCCCTCTCTTACTTAGCTCTGCCAAACCAAGTTCGCTCATATGCCCGAGACGCATATGCCAAAGCTTTGTAGCATCAGAATCAGATAATTACTTTGAAATTGTAACAACATTACCTACAATTGTAGTACCTCGCAAGAGATACAAATTAGCAGATTTCAAATCACCTTTCATGACAACAAGAGAGCCTATTGATACATTCATAACTCCACCTCCAGTGGAGTATCTGTACCCTTTCAAATCTAGAGTACTTAATAAGATTTTCTCATCATAGTTGGAATGTGCCTCACATTAGTCAAGGTCCTCATAACACCATCAGACATTTTAATTTGAATGATCCATTCATTGGCATATGCGTCTTAGCTCTCTCTTACTTAGATCTGCCAAACCAAGTTTGCTCATATGCCCAAGACGCATAACACCAACTATCTTACGGGGTATGCTATCACCCATTAACACAGCGTCACCACCTTGAACAGAATCGTAAGTGGTAAACCGTTCTTTATGAATGCATATATGAAAAGTACAGGCTGAATCAAGAATCCATTCATCATCAATCTTTGCACATCCAGCAAAAGCAACAAGCACGTCACCTTCACTGCCACTTTCAGTAGCAACTGAAGCTTTACCTTCATCTTCAGTTTTACCTCTTGACTTGGATATGCTATTTCGCTTTTCCTTGTTTTTCAACTTATAACACTCTGTAATATAATGATTGTCCTTCTTGCAATAATTGCAGAATTTATCGCCCTTCACTTTGAACGTCCCCTGTAGCCACTTGAACTTTTACCTCTAGATGCACTATAGGATCCCTTCTCCTTTTGCCTACCCCAAACAAACAAGCCTTCTGCTTGTGAACTTGAACTTTCAGCAGATACCATTTCTTTTATCTTTTCCTTGGCATGCAAGGCTTCGTAAACTTCATTTAGGGTGAGAGTATCATGACTATATAGTATAGTATCTCTGAAATTTGAATATGAACTAGGTAAGGAACACAAAAGAATAAGACCAAGATCCTCTTCACCATATTTTACCTCCATTGACTCTAGATCAGCAACTATCTCTTTAATTTTCGAAAGGTGATCCAACACCTTTCCTCCATCTTGCATCTTGTGCAAAAACAACTTTTGCTTAAGGTGCATCTTGCTAGTGAGATCCTTTCATACAGAGCTGCTCCAACTTTAACCATAGTCCAGCAGCAGTGGTCTCCTTTAACACTTCCTGCAAAATATTGTTTGACAAATGGAGATGAATTTGACATAAATCCTTGTGGTCTTTCCGCTTTTCAGCATCGGACCAATCTGCGGTATTCTTCCCACCAAAACCATCTAGCGCATCATCCCATTCAGCATGCATCAGAATTGCTCGCATCTTGACTTGCCATAGAGAAAACCATGTATCTCGATCCAACAATGGAATATCATACTTCAAAGATGCCATGTCGAAGAAGCCTAGATTGAATAGGCAATAAACTTGGCTTTGATACCACTTGTTAGAAAATAACTGGCGAAACAAGTATGATCACAATCACGAGAGACACCGAATATATGTGGAAGCTCCTCTGGAAATCAAGACACAAATACGCAAAGGTAATCTTCACTATTCAATATATCTGGAGGTCTACAAATGCAAGGGATTTACAACTGGTAACTCAACCCAAGCATATTATAAGAGGAAGAGGAATTGAAACGCAGAAGAGTTCTGCTAATTGTGTTACACTTTTTCGTACGACATTCAACCGGTTTATATAGGCTCAAGCATGCAGCCAATCCAAATAACAAGTGGCTAAATAGAACCCAAGCAACATGCAAGCATGCTACCACAAAACGTCTTGCCAATATAGGACAAGCTAAATTAGATGTCGTCCAACAGTAGGTGCATGTAGAAGCCTTTAGGAATTCGGAGCATATACCAACATGCTGTTCGTCGTTGCACCTTCATTTCTTTTTGTTGTAACATGGAGGCAGCTATGCTTGGTAATGACGGTTTAGTGCTGTGTCTGAGGCCTATTTTTAACATAGTAATGTAGTGTGGACTGCTGTTAATGTAATGGAACTCCATGTATAATTCAGTTGCACTTGTGCTCATTCCTGTGATCTCTACTGCCTATCTGCTACCTACCTTTGGGCCAGGCCGAGTATACCCAGCACCAAACACCATCTCAAGATGGCAGTTGGGGTTAGTTGGTCCTCAGCCGGGCTACAAACTGGGAACCAAACACATTCTTCATTGGGCCTGGTCGGTTTCATACAGCAAACCAAACAAGGGTGCTTGGCCACCTTGAGCCGAGCCTTGGCTGGCCTGGGACAGGTCCCTGGACCGAGCCGGCCTCAGCCACCTTATCAAACACACCCTCAGTTTCTGAAATGGCTCCTAGAAAATGGAACAGATCGGTTTAAAAAAATATTTTACAAACTAATCTTTACATCGAATAAATGAATAATGCTGCCAGTTTAGTTTGGATGAATCTTGGAAACCCTACTCAATCATCTGAGAGTTCATGGGGAGTTCAGGGTTTTGATGAATCTGAAAAATCCAATTTCTCAATATGAGTACTTTATGGGGATGAACCGAGCTTTGCCGACAAGCATTTCAGCCTTGGGAAGTGATTGGCAATTGGGGGTAAGGAGTTGAGCATGGCACCATGCCATATGGGCTGTTAGGCCAAATAGGCAGACAGAACAGACAAAGCCAATATTTGAGGTTGAGCCAACAAACTGATTTCTTTAGTTTTATATCGTGACCACGCTACAACAGTGAAACTTCATTTAAAAAGCATAGCAAGCAGCACAAAGCGCACAGAAATGGACAGCCATTATGTTGGTTTATACACATGTCACAGTTCTAAGTAATATTTCTGACACATTACAAAAGAACTGATTCGAAATTTTGTTTCATACTAATAACACACTCAAAGACAACCTAATGCAGACTCTGGTAGAAATAACTGCGTGAACAAATCCTCAAGGTAATTTCGCTCTAGAGAAGTCCATCTCCGGGTGCTGCCGCGGAAGAATAGGAAATGAATCAAATGCACGAAATAGGATGAGAAGCTAAACCTACATACATATATCACGACTGAAAGATGAAGCTGGCTTTGTGGCACGACTTACCTGAGACCTGAACTTCTTGAGAATTTCTTGCTTTTGCATTTCATCACTTGTTGGAAGGCCCATCTGCTTCTGGCGCTGGTCAAACTACAAACCAGATTAAAGGATTTTAGCTATTTCCATGTAGCAGCAAGTCAGATGTGCATCAGGTTCTGCGTGTCTTACCATCATCTTCTCCACGGTTTGTCTAGTTGTCGGATACCATAAAAAGGGGTACCCTAAGCAAGAACTGAAAATATTGCTTAGACCTTGCAAATATCAAAGCCGAAGGACAACCACGAGGCCTCGGCCGATTCTCCGATTCGCCCGAGGCCCGCGCCGCAAAGGCCTCGGACGAAAAGCCAACTCTCCGCCTCGCCGAGGCCCCCTCGCCCGAGGCCCTGCCCCGCAAGGCCTCGGACGGGTTACCGATTCTCCGATTCGCCCGAGGTCCCGCGCATAAAGCCTCAGACGAAGTACCGATTCTCCGACTCGCTCGAGGCCGGCTCGGCAACAACCTCGTCGCCTCCGTCTCGACCGACTTCTCTGACAAAACGTCACGTCCAATTAACGCGTCCAACCACTCCCGCAACGTCAGCCGCACGTCGGCGCAGTACAGCGGAGTGGCCGACGGGACGGGAGATAGGACTGGGCAGGGGTTACCAGCCACTGTGCTCAGCACTGGGCCCATAACTAACGCCCGTACTGCACTGTGCTACCTAACTCCTGCTCCAGGAACAACGTGGCGTGGGGAGTCAAGTCCGGGTCACTATAGCCTCGAAATCAGTGTATAGGACCAACTGCTCCCTCCAAGCCTCGGCAATCCACTTCAGGGTCTCGGCAGCCTCGGGATTCGCGCCCGCCGAGCCCCCCACGATGGCTCAGCCTCGGCACCAACTGAGCCTCGGCTTTTTACACTGTCAACGCACAGCAACCGGCACGTCGTCGGCCATGCCCTGCGCCAAGCTATCACTGGAGCTCCCACGTCGCACAAGATCGGGTGTGACCGGCGCGTTGCTCCAGTGCATCAAGGACAAGACCGCTCTGTTGACCATGCCGCCACAGTAGTAAGCTACAGGGCTCAGACACGCCACCTCCGCTCACAAGACGCCGCATAGCAAACACATGTATCACCCCTGTCCCCCCTTCAACTATAAAAGGAGAGACCGGGGCCGTTTCTAGAGACAGGAAGACAGACGAACTCACGCATAGGCTCACATAGATTCAAACACACACGCTCCCCCGCTACCTGAGAGCAACGTCTCAAGCAGCCCACACCGCTCCACGCAGAGACCCAGGACTAGCTCCCTCTCTCGCCCAGCTTGTAACCCCCTACTACAAGCACTTCGGTGCAAGGAATACAAGATCGATCTCTCAGATTGGACGTAGGGCACCAATTGCCTGAACCAGTATAAACCTTATGTCTCTTTGCATCACCATCCGGGATTAGGGGCACACAGTTCAAATTCACTAGTTGGTTGAGGACCCCCCGGTCCAAAACACCGACAGTTGGCGCGCCAGGTAGGGGGCACTACTGCATGTTAGCTTAATCGTCCCAACAAGTTCCGGATGGCAGACCCCATATGTCGGTGTTTCGAAACCGGGGGTCCTTAACCGACTAGTGAATTTGTGCTGCGTGCTCCCAATTCCGGATGGTGATGCAAAGAGACACAAGGTTTATACTGGTTCGGGCAATGGATGCCCTACGTCCAGTCTGAGAAGATGTTCTTGTATTCCTTGCACCGGGGTGCTCGTAGTAGGGGGTTACAAGCTAGGCGAGAGAGGGAGTTCGTCCCAAGTCTCTGTGAGGGGAGGTGATGTGAATTACGAATGCGGCGCGTTGTTCGTGCGAGTGTTGTTCGTGACTCTATCCGCCGTCCCCTAGAAACGGTCTGGCCGCCTCCTTTTATAGCCGCAGGAGGAAACCAGAGTACATAAGAGAGCTACACGTGGAGCGGACTATTCGATGACGTATTTACTCCTCGAGCAAAGATGGCGTTGTCGTGGGAGTTCCGTAGATGTCTAATCGGTATGGTCTCCATCGCAAGTAACATGCTTTGCGCATTTGTTGACTTGGTGGATTGCGAGGCTCGGCGCCATCGTGGCCGTCGTCTGCCGAGGCTCTTGTGTGCGCCGCTTTCTTTGTAGAGAGGCACGAGAAGTGACCCAGTGCGATCGGGTCTCGGCCATCAGGTGGAATAGTGCGAGACGGCGCCTCTGAGGATACTGATACTGTATTGTCGATGAGGGATGGTAAAAAGGTGATCGGACCGTTGTCCCGTCGCTCTGCAGCGGCCTTGCCGCCGATCGTGGCTTACGATGGTGCGTTGGCGCGCATTAATTGGATGCGACGACCGCCAGAGAGACCTTCGAGGCGGAGGCGACGAGGTTGCGGGATTTGAGCCCGGCCTCGGGCGAGGCGGAGCGCGCCAATTGGTCCGAGAGTTTACCTACCGGGGGTCTCGGGCGAGGCGACGGCGAGGCGAGTAAGATCGCTGAATCCGAGGCCTGTCGAGGGGGCTCGGGCGAGCGGAGCGGTCGGTCCGGCGATTCCAAGGCTACAGAACCCGCTCGACTCCCCACGCTATGGCGATGTCCTTGGCGCAGGAGTTAGCGCAGACAAGATGGTGGTGGTAACCCCCGCCTCTGTGCCGTCGCAGATGGCGAGAGGTTGACGCGTCTGGCGTGTAGTCGGTCACTTCACCTGTCTTGTGCCATCGTCGCGTCTGTCGGAGTGGTTGGGCGCTTGATGATGCGGCGTTCGGTCAAAGCGATTTGGTCGAAGAGGCGGTCACGGGTTTGTGCCGAGTCGCCGGCCTCGCGAATCGAGAATCGGCACTTCTTCCGAGGCCCCGGCGCGGGGGCCTCAGCGCGGCGGTCTCAGAGAAGAATCGTTCGCTTCGCTCATTGGGTTTCGGCGGCGGGGTCTCGGGCGAATCGGAGATTTCGGCCGAGACCTCGCTTGTTTATTCCATTGGTTCTGCTCTTAGGGTCTAAGCATTTTTTCGATCTTTGCTTGGGGTACCCCATTTTTTCGGTATCCGACAAGAGCCCCCCCAGCCTCGGGTGGGAGTGTGGGATACTCTCCCGAGGTTTTTGAGACTTTTGTTTCTCAAATGGCTCTTGTCGGGTTTGTTTTATACTGATTACGGTGGTGCGCTGGCCTCACCACGGTGTAGCCCCGAGGCCTTAGAGGAGTGAGTTTACTCCTTTAGGGCTTTTTCTTCGTTGAGTAAGGCGCTCTATCGCATTCGCTAGACCCATGAGAGCGAGCTCGGGTCGCTTGTTTTCGCTTGGGTGCGGAGAGCCCCAGAGCCTCACCGAGCCCTCGCGTGCGATCCTAGGTCGTTGGGTCTCGGCAAGGCTTGCGGAAGAGCCTCCGCGAGCCGGAGCGAGAGGGCGGTCGGGAGTTCTCCGGCTTCTTGTACGACCCTCGCGCATCCTTTTACGTTCGGAAGGAGGGGTTGTTTGCCGAGCCCTTCGTGTATGCGAGCCTAGGCCACTGGTCTCGGCAAGGTTGCGGAAGAGCCCCGAGCCTCCGCGACGTAGCGAGAGGCGATCGGGAGTTCCCCTGGCTTTTTGTGCGACCCTCACGCATCCTTTTCGCTCGGAAGGAGGGGTTGTTTTGCCGAGCCCTTCGTAGCGAGCCTAGGCGGCTCTGGGTCTCGGCAAGGTTGCGGGAAGAGCCCCGAGCCTCCGCACGTGTGCGAGAGGGCGATCGAGAGTTCCCCGGCTTTTTGTACGACCCTCACGCATCCTTTTCGCTCGAAGGAGGGGTTGTTTTGCCGAGCCCTTCGTGGTGCGAGCCTAGGCCACTGGTCTCGGCAAGGTTGCGGAGAAGAGCCCCGAGCCTTCGCAGACGTAGCGAGAGAGCGATCGGGAGTTCCCTGCTTTTTGTATGCGACCCTCGCGCATCCTTTTCGTTCGGAAGGAGGGTGGAACATGCCAGCTACCCTCGGTGAGCGAGCGGTGATATTTCCGGTGAGGTTTTATCGGGTAAGTCCGAGTGGAGGCCCGTGCCCCATTCGATAGGGGGGGGTCGGCTAGTGGTCCAGACGCTCCAAAAAAAGTAATGTAAGGCTTCTCTAGCGGGTGCTGGGGCGTTCGATTGGCCCTAGGGGCTCGGTGCCTCCCTCGGTGGGATCCCCTTTAGAGAACTCATGCTTTGGTCTCGGACACGACTTAGGGCATCCCAAGCAATCCCTTGCACGGCCTCGGCGGCGTGTCTGGGGCTCGCCCATAGTTGTCCCCGACTCTGTTGTCCTAGGGCGGTTGTCGAGGCCCCTGGATAGCCCAAATTCGTACCCCGGATCATAATGGGCTTGGTGCCCTTTTTCATCGCCAGCGTTTTCCGACCCTCGGGTATGAGAGGTTGCGGAAGAGCCCCGAGCCTCCGCATGCGTAGCGAGAGGGCGATCGAGAGTCCCCCGGCTTTTTACGACCCTCGCGCATCCTTTTCGCTTCGGAAGAAGGGGTTGTTTGCCGAGCCCTTCGCTCTGCGAGCCTAGGTCACTGGTCTTGACAAGGTTGCGGGAAGAGCCCCCGAGCCTCCGCACGTGGCGAGAGGGCGATCAAGAGTTCCCCCGGCTTTTGTACGACCTCGCGCATCCTTTTCGCTCGGAAGGAGGGGTTGTTTGCCGAGCCCTTCGCGCGTGCGAGCCTAGTTCACTGGTCTCGGCAAGGTTGCGGGAAGAGCCCCGAGCCTCCGCACATAGCGAGAGGGCGATCGGGAGTTCCCCGGCTTTTTGTATGCGACCCTCGCGCATCCTTTTCGCTTCGGAAGGAGGGGTTGTTTGCCGAGCCCTTCGGCGTGCGAGCCTAGGTCACTGGTCTCGGCAAGGTTGCGGGAAGAGCCCCGAGCCTCCTCGCGGGCGAGAGGGCGATCGAGTTCCCCGGGTTTTATACGACCCTCGCGCATCCTTTTCGCTTTCGAAGGAGGGTGGAACATGCCGAGCTACCCTCGGTGCGCGCGGTGACACATTTCCGGTGAGCTTTTATCGGGTAAGTCCGAGTGGAGGCCCGTGCCCCATCTCGATGAAATTCGGCTAGTGGTCCAGACGCGCTCCAAAAAAAGTACCGAAGGCTTCTCTAGCGGGTGCTGGGGCGCTCGATTGGCCCTAGGGGCTCGGTGCCTCCCTACGGGGATCCCCTTTAGAGAACTCCAAATTGGTCTCGACACACGACTTAGGGCA